CAGATAACGGAAAGTAGCGGTACTCTTTTATCGTTTGTCTACTTAGACTTTAGTGTCTCTCAACTTTTATAATCATCTCTATGATTGAAGAAAAATTACAAAATTCGCGGATCCGGTGTCCCATCCGCGAAGACTGTCTCGCGGCCCACCATTTTACAATTGCGCCAAGTAGACAAACAATAAACAATGGCATGTCGTTTTTCATAATCTCTGCCCACTCGGCAGAGATTGCGCATTGCGGCTCGCATACGCCCAGTTAGTTGCTTTGCACTAAGCGCAAAAGTAAACGGCCGGAAGGCTCGTACGAATGACGTCAGCGTCGTGTCGTTCGCCGTGCCGGGAGTGATCGCTAATTTAATCGTAATTACCGACATCGCGTCCGGCATAGAGTAATTCGATCCGACGTGACGCGGCCGTTATCGCCGTTGTTGGCGATATCGTATCGTATCGTGCCGTGTCGTGCCGTGCGCTTTCGTCTCTTTTGAATCCTTTTGACGGAGCCGACGGAGCGAAGGATGCGCGTTATGAAATCGAGAGTCTCTCATCCGCGCGTTACGATCTCCTCTTGCATGAGCGCGCATGAGGAACTTGAGCGCGGCGATTAATAACGGAAGCGTAAAACACGCGCGTCGTTGCTCACAAATGAGGTACACGAGATATAGATACACCAGCCGAAGATCATGTCGATCATGATCGCGAGGCGATCCTCTTTCGTCACTTCTTTTCCTCAAACGATAAATTCGCTCGATGAATTTTAATTGCACGGATAGAAAATGAAAATAGAACTTACTTACGTTCGAGAGTACTGGCAAGTGAAAAATTTTAATGAATCATGAAAATTAAGATAATTTTTGTTCGCAAATTAATTAAAGTACAAGGTTTCTAAATTTTTTTAATTAAAATACTGGAAAAATAAAATAACTTATGTTCGGGACAAATGCAAGATTCTAAATTTTTAAATTAAAGTACTGGGGATGAAAAAAATAAAAAAAATGTAATACTATTTTTATCGAAGACATTGTTAGGTTAGAATCGTATATCAAAGTCAGGATATAATTATATAAAATAAAACAGTGAAATTTGTCATTCAAGTAATCTAATGAGCCGTCATTCGTCGAATATTTGAGATAAGCGGACAATGTTACCATTTTAAATTCCAAAAGGATCGCTTAAATTACAGCCGAGAACTTCCGGAAGAAGTAAACTAATGAATACGTTCATTGACGTTTATCTTTAGCCCCTGCAATGTCGGTTACTGTTCTCAGAGTTTCCACATTCCAGCATTCGTATCAGCTAACGAGGACTTACTGAAGAAAGTGTGCGTTAATTTATGCACATTTCTTCGGGATTAGTTCATGACTCTCTTCTCCCATCGATGCGTTTATGTCTTTATATAGAAATTATATCTTTATATAGAAGATATCTGAAAGACCTAAGATATATTAAACGTATTTATTTTTATTGGAAAAAATGATATTTATTATTTTTCGAAGAAGCCTTATTATAATAATTATGTAATTTAAATGTAAATATAATCGGCAGATATTCATGTATACGTCTGTTGTATCAAAGATTTGAAAAACGTATTCATCATCTATCGCCGAAATTATTTTAATTGAATATCGCGCGTAATTTGTCACCTTGTAATTTTTTGTCAATCACAATAAAATCTTTTGACGATTTGATTACGAAACTACGATAGTCCACCGGCGTGGATTGGCAAAGATGAGCCAGTAAGGTCATGTCAATTAACATCCGACAATTCACGCGAAGCTATCGCTTAGCGATAGTTCGGCGTAGTTATGGCATCGAGAATTGGATTCTCCGAAATTACATTAGCTCGTGATCAGTAATAGATCTCTGTGGCACGGCTATTAGAGAGATCGAAAGCTGTCCATCGCGAGTTTAGACTCTTTCCTAACATTCAAAATATCGGCTGCGAACGTTGAGGACTTGAGCACTTCTCTTTGCGTTTCGTGTGAGATTTATAACTCCGTCTGATAATTTGACCAGTCACGACCAAAGAATTGTTTGTCGGGATTAGATCCTATAGATAAGAAACGCTTGCTGTGATCGTGACTGTATTTATTCTTACCAATGGGACTGATTTAACCGGCTGATTACGCTGGAGCTTGTTCCACAAGACGTAACAGATTAGATCATCTCTCAATCAATTCTGTCTTCAACTATCAATTAAGCTTAAAATGTTAAAGGATTAGCCAAGTATAGAGAATGTGAATCTATTATCGTAGAATTAATAGCATATGTACACAGAGAAAAGAAAATTAGCCTTAATCAAGATAAATACTAAACCAAGAATATTATGATTTTCCTATAGAAGATTTTTAGTCTTGTGCGTGAGTTGAACAAAAATAATATTTGTATAAATATAAATTCACTCAAATCACTAAAAATCACTAAATTTTTTAGAAGCTTATAATATTCTTGTTTATATACGAGAATATTTATATTGATTTCAAATTAATTTTTTTTCTATGTAGAGACTAAGAATTCCTGTATTTTTTTTTAAACAAGATATATTTTTCCTGTATTTTTCTTGATTGATACACATTAATGTATAATTGTTTCATACGGGTAAGATAATAAAAGATACGGTATATGCATCAAGATCAATAAATAAGTAGAACAAAGCAGCATTTATCCATTTTTCTTTTATCAAAATTATTATAATTGAAAGTTCTTCTATCTAGATTTTTAATCGAAGAGAAGTGACTTTAAATTCACAAGACAATTCATTATTAAAAATAAGGTCACGGACGGAACGCAGTCTTTGCATATTACTCGTTAATTGCCGCTTAAACGATTGTTATTCGATGCAGTTATTTCGAATTGTTGGCGGCAAGTTGTTCAAACTGGGCCAAACAACTTGGGCCCAACAACGAGGCGAGAGATAATCTACGAAGAACAAATGCTCGGTTCGCAGAGTATGGAATGGAATGTGTGATTTAGCGTAAGCTAAAGTTCGTAAAGTTTAAGCCACGCGCATATGCGTGGGTATAAGACATTAATGAACTTTCCATACTAAACAAAGTTTCCGATACATACTTGTCACGCGAGATTTCTATACCATCCCGAAAAGAACACTTCAAAAATTGGAGTCACCGTGCACTAATTTGCATAACGGCATAGCGGCTCTCTATACAATAATACATAATGATACATTTAACATTATTTCTAAATGCACTTTTTATAGATAAATAATATTATATTGAATTTTTTTTTCATTGCATATTTTCTTTCTTGTCGTGATTCGAGTATCGAGTAACACAGAAGTCGTTGAACGCGTTACGCGCGTTCATTAAAATATTTGATCGCGATTCTCTCACGAGAGCGACAGGCGCACTCGGAAAATGTGATCGTTCACAGGGCGGGCCACTCGAGATATTTCTAAATCTAGAGAAGTGCTACCGAGTATATCTCTTTCCTTACCTCTTATTTTGTATCGTCTGGCGGTGTTAGGCTGACACTTACCGTCGGCTTGTCGACCTTTTAAACGGTATCGGTCGATGATACCGGCGCTCGAGTGGCATTAACTTTTCAGTAGGATGATGGTGATGATGATGATGATGATGATGATGATGATGAAGTGTCGAGTATGCGTTATAAATCACTAGCTAGATTGTAAATTGCGAGCGTCGATAAATCTCTACGCTAATATTCCGCGATTACGCTCGCAGATAAATGATTTATATGATGGTTTCTAATTAATCTCACGTCCTAATACGTGCTACTCTTTCTACGATTTTCGATTTGTTCCACCAGAACGATAGGCCCTTGAAATCAGTGCTCGAATTGCAAATCAATGAGATGCCCTATTATTCTTCCAGTCAACGTATACGTCTTAATTCACATCGTTTCACGTACACACGTTTCGACATCTCGATATGAATCGTCCGTCCCGTAATTTCAGGGATGTTATTTAAGATTACTCATTCGTTCTTCAATAATCGTGATTATGTTACAAAACCACGTCATTAATTCGTAAAAAAAATCCCCGGACTTGACGTTGGCGTCCTTGCGATCCCGGCCGTTGCGTCACGTCGATGACAAAACAGAAGGTCTTGAATGATAATTTCACGACGAATTACACGAGATACAGTTGTTCGATACGAGACGCATCGATAAAACGAAACTCGAACAGATTCAAATCTCGCTTGTAATTCTGTTTACGGTGCGATAAAAGGGAACTGACGGAAGATGGGATTTTGCCTCCAATTTTGTCTCGTTTTTGTTGCGAATTGCCCCAAAGTGGACTTCGGTTCTTTTTATTCACGCGATCCATCGTCGATTTTTGTGCCTCGCATGCCAAACCGATCGGAGCAGCTTGCCAAGCCGTCCGACCTTCCGTTCATTCGCTCATTCGCTCGCTCGCTCGCACCTACCTATTCTACCTGCTTGACCTCATCCGACTTGACCTGATCCGGTTGCCTGCGACTTTGGTTTCGTTATATACCATGACCTCGACCATCCTTAAAGGCCCATTTCCAGGTGGCGTTGCGTCATGACACGTCCCTCGCTGTCACCTCGCTCAAGCCGTATGCATAACGTTACATCGCCGCGAGATAATGTAACAACTATACCATCGTAACAGCTATATATCGGTGCGACGAATTGCGAAATTCAGTTGTCACGGTAATCTATATCGTGGCCGTGTTGATGACAATAGACATGTATCATCTATAGTGCGTGCACTGTCTACAGTGCCGCCGCGCGTTCGTTACGTTTGCGCAGCATGACATCGTACGAGGCTACGCTTGTTGCATAAATGTAGTGGCAATTATGATAATGGAATACAACACGAATTGTTTACAATACGCTAATGTTACAAGGGATATTTTATATTTGCATTGGCTACGAGCGGCTACAGGTGCATAATGCGACGCGTTATTACCTCAGCAGCGTTGCACCGTCATAACGCAGTAGCCGCCGAGGGAAATGTTTATGTTTCTAATATTTCTGTTCTTTCTGTGTGTTCGCAGACGAACGAGACGCCATACAGAAGAAGACCTTCACGAAGTGGGTGAACAAGCATTTGAAAAAGGTGAGACCGCTTCTCGAGTTGACGGATTCTCACGACTTGACTTTATTATCCCGCGGCGTTTTCCCAATTCGTGCGAATCTTAATCGCGCTATCGTTTTAATTGGTTCGATGACACTATCGTCTACAAAGTATATTCCTTATTGGAAAAATACAAACAGATAGAATCTGAAATGAATCATAGGATGCATTCCAAGATAATTATGAATTGCACGTCAAAAAATTATTTTTCTATCTTGATAGTTTGCATGCATTTCAAACAGGTGGTCAATTAATCTTAGTACGTACACGGAAAGAACACTTTTGCAGGTAAATTTAAGAATTTGGCCAAATACTAATTTAAAAAATAATTTTGTTGATTCTTTAAAATTATTATACATGACGTTCAAATTAGAGGATCAAAAATTTTTGCAGTATTATTATTTTTAAGCGTCCTATATAATTTGAATAGTCTAACAAAATTATTTTCAGATTTGTATCTGGCCAAATTTTTAGATTTGCCAACAATTAATCTGAAAATAATTTTCTTGATTCTTTAACATTTTTATATACGATGTTCAAATTAGAAGATCAAAAATTTTTGTAGTGTTATCATGTTTAAGTGTTTTACCTAATAATTTTGTTGGACCGTCCAAATTATTATGTGAGACACTTAAACATGATAACACCGCAAAAATGTTTGATGTTCTTCTAATTTGAAGTTCTCTCCATGTACATAATTCAATCATGTTTATAAAATAAAGACAGTTTCTGAACAGCGTGTAGTGGTTAAGGGTCTAAATTGACAGAATTGTGTGACATTCCAGGTTTAACTAAGGTTATTATTAAATTTGGCCTTTCGCCTTGGTCTTATCGTTATAATTTTACGTCCACTTCTTCGGTAAACAAATCTCAAATTTGTGCGTGATGACACATAATGGTATGCTTTGTTCATTCGCGGGCTCCTCGTCCTATGCCCGCGTAACTGTGACGAAATTACTTACGGAGGCGGATTGTCATTTCACGCACAGAGCAGTAAATTGTCTTCGTCGAAAGATTTACGACTCGCGTAAATTCGCGCGATCCGCGCAAAAAAAGGCACGGCGCGCGAGAAAATTTATCTCTATTCCGATTATTTTTACTCGATCGAAGAAGACAAATTTATTCGTCGTCGAAGTATCCCGCGAAGCACGTAAATCTGCGAAACTGCGCGAAAGACGACCGGCATGACGCCGGCGAGCGTGCTGTTAAATCGAAACGATCGCCGGCGAACAATGCGCCGCGAAAGCGTTAAATCGCTGGAAGTAGGAAACGCGTTAGTAGCGCGGCAAACGAGGTTTGCGTCGGGCAAATGTACGCAATACGAACGCGAGTTTCCACGGGAACGCCGATGGGGCCCGACGATCCCATTCCCGTCCCCCCCCCCCCCTCCCCCTCGAGCTTTCGAAAGGATCGATCGGACTCGTCGCGCCTTTTCGCGCCTCCCCGCTTTTAACAAACGCGCCGTATGCGCAAGTAGGCGTCTCGCGTGCGCGAATCGCCGCGTAAAAATACGCAAACTCTCATTGCGCAATCACGGTCCCGATATCGCGGCCCCCGTGTTGCGTATGTGGCACGCACGTGGGTCGAAAGTACCTTGTCGCTCGTACGCGCGCGCGCGCGCGACTATTAGCACGACTATAGAAGGCAGCGGGGGATTGAGGAGCCGCGATACGTGGGCGACGCGATCGAAAGAAAAATCTCGAGCGACAAATCGTCGATGACACGATAAGATGACACGGTCTTTGGTTCTCCCCCCAAAACGCTCGGTCCCTCGGAAACCGGCACCGCCCCGCGCCAGAGAAAGAAACGCGACGCGAACACGATCGAATCTGTTTTTCCGCGAGATAAAAGACGCCGTCAGCTGATAAGGATTATCGTCGAGTGGCGAAAGCTAGAGATATCTATCGATCGTGTGAGAGAGCGAAAATACCGGTGAGCTTTGATTCTCGGCATGCCGCCGCCGCCGCGGACGCTGCTGCTGTCGTCGTCGTCGTCGTCGTCGTCGTCATCGTCATCTTCGTCGTGTGTACACTTATGTCCGGGATAAGAACGCGGTCAAATGCTTCTCGATAAGGGACCGCTCGTCCGCCCGGCCGTTGCACGCCGCGTTGCATGTCTTCGAGCGAGCTGTGCCATGCGGCTGGAGATTCTCCGCCGTGAGGGACTCCATCAAGTGCGCGTCCGCACTTTGACAGCCGTTGCGGCCGTTGCCGGGGTTTTCACGGCGAATATTTGCATACCGCCGAACAATGCTGAGAAAACGTGAACATTCGCGCATTCGGCGATGCGTCGAGATAGATCATTTTCTCACGTGGTGATAAAATATGTATGAAGCGTCGTATTACCGTCGTGTAATTTTATACCACGTCGGCCGTATGAATCATTGTTAAATGCAAAGTTCTTGCTAAATGTTTCCAGATCGATCGTGTCGCAGATAAACTTGATGAGGAGGACACCGTTATACAATTGAGAATCAATTGCCGCGTTGCAAGTGATAAGATTTGATGGTGAACTTAACGGTGAAACGCTTCATCGAAGAAATCTTTGAGACAATAAGCGGATTATTTTTAAACAATAAATGACATCGCTCGGCGAGATTGGAGCCTATAATTTTTCATTTTTAATTGAATTTATATATATAAATTCGGAACGGAATTTGCTTGTATCGCGAACTACGTGCCATAGATTATTTTTAATTATTTATTTACGTAAATAATATTAAGATTACACAAAATGCTTTATAATTATTCGTTGGTATCTTTTTATCATTAGAAATCATTTAGAAATAATTGATATTGAATTACTTTTCCTTAGAAAAAGTTTTTAATGAGATTTAATGCCGATGAAGAGTATCGCTTAATTATTTTAAGAAGCTGTGTTTGTGTACATTTTTGTCAGTAAATCCAAACCAATCTATGTACGCATAAATATTCAATTAACTCATCAATTACATTTAAGTGAGAGAAAATTCATGACACGGGGCGAGACCGTGCCCGCTTTCGTTCGATGGTATGCATCGCGCATATGTCAGTCAGGACTTAATACAGACAATGATTCATCCGTCACGGTGGAGCCGCATCGAGTTGAGTTGAGTCGAGTCGAGTCGAGTCGAGTCGACTCGAGTCGAGCCGCGCCGCGAGGCAGGCGGCTCCAGGAATGGTTCGAATCACGGCCGTATACGGGTGGAGTTGTCCCGTCGACGTATAATTATCGTAAACTGGCATCGTTCTGTCGTGCCGTTTCCTGCCCACCGTTTCTCATTCCTCGCTTCACTCTCGTTACGCGAAGCTTCTTTCATCAGTCGCGGATAAAACGGTATAATTTCTGCCCAAAGTTTGCAACTCGCGCGCACGGCACGCTCACACACACACAAAATACACACACACACACACACACACACACATTTTCACAACTTGGATACAATCCCGACACCTGCTCTAAGAATTTTAGGGTTCCTAATTAATCTCGGGAACGATTTCAATCATTAATTAGTAAAAAATGAAAATTTCGAAGTTATGAAGCTATTCGAAGCTATTTTTTGTTCATCTTAATCATGATTTCTTACCAGAATCAATTTGAATTTTAACGATTTTTAGTCTCAAGTCTCAAGATGATATTTAGAAAAGTATTAGAGTTTTGGAACAAAAAGATTTTTTCTCAAAAAATTCCTTATTTAAAAGATTATCAGAATTTTTTTCATCTTTGGCTTTGTCAGTTTGAGTGTCGTATAAATTGTTGAGAAATTGTTCGAAACTCCAAAGCAGGCAGGCAGATCTCCTTGAAAAAATTTCTCAATCGTGTGAAAAAATTTGGAAGAATAAACCTAAGGATTTAACAAAGCGTCTTTTGCGATTCTTCAACCAATTTGGCGATGATATCTTTCCTCAGTCTGAAATCAGCGCTCGAGGAAGGTCATCGCAATGAAAAGGAACAAACGTCTGTATTCTCGTTGAGCGAAGTATAATACCTGCGAGCATTAAGCGCGCTCCGTGTGAATGGCGTTTTAATGATCGCGGCCTTCCACATTGGCTCGTGTATCACGTGCATCTTTGTCCGACATAACGTTCTATTGTTGATACGTGCGATCGAGTGCGGGCGGTCTCTCTCAGTGCAACGAATACGACTACAGGGTCAAGGTATCACGAAGTTATGCGTTCGTCGGTTATTTGCTCAAGCCTCTCTTTCGTGACTCGTCGGTTCGGTCTATTTGGAGAACATTGGAGAAAGATTTTTGCACACGAATTTACCGACCGACTTTTATCTTCAATTGCTAAATATTCGCTAAATATTCGCAAAAAAAGCATTATCTGCTCTGATATATTTACCGAGGAAAAAATCGACTTCGAATTGATTGAAGAGATCTATATAGAAGGTTGCAAGAACCTCGGGAGAAGATGCGTGCGGAGTTTGGGAAACTGAATCCATTGGCGTCTCTCGAAATCTCGAAATGGTCAATTTCGCGACATACCGGGTACCATAAAAATAACGACGATATTTACGCGTTGCGCGATCGCCGGTTACCAGTATCGACCCACGGTCGTTCGGTTTCGCGCGCCCACGTTTGGTCTTGCGAGCCTGACCTTATTCGGAAACCCTCTTCGAGAGTGCCGTTCCCGATTTACCACCTCCGGCCCGGTGGTAGAGGTGGGGCTGCAGGGCAGGTGTGGTAGGTAGCGTTTAACTTCTTCGGGGCGCCGCCGCCACGATCGTTCGGGGCACGCGGGTAGACCCTAAAGGGAGGTCGCATCGAAGAGGGAGAAAAGAACCTTTTATAGCCGTTTTTAGCGTTCGCTCTCGTCAATCGGGTATGTCTTTGATCCACGGCACGAATCCGCGGTGCTTACGTAATCACAATACGCCGACACATCACGCCGTCATGTTTTGATTTGATAGCAGGATCTTTAAATTGAAGGCTTGTTGATGCAAGAACACGCGCACTGTTATTCATAAAATCAAATAGTTCTTTATTTACTTAATAGATATAAGAGAGGCAGAAATGTATCGTTACATTTATCTGATAATTATGAATTATGTGAATTAACTTGTCTGTCAAATATATTTCGAAAAATTTATTTTACACAGATTATATTTTCTTATATGGAATAAAATATATAACTATTTTTTTTTGTAACTTATTTTACATTGATACACAATAAATTATGCGAATCGGTCTTCGTAAATAGCAATTTCGTTGTTTTGCGCTGCAGGACTTTGTACTGCATGTGTTGGTGAAATCATGTATACCGGAAGTGAACGATCTGCGCAAACCGAGGCCAGAGTGAACAGAGTCCAACGATTCACGATAGTAAAGCCAACGAAACATTTTTGTTACAAAAATCTGTTACAAAAATCTGAAAATAATATTACTTAAATGAACGTATAATCTACATTGTAAAAATAATGATAATAATCACATGTTAATGTGTAACGATAAGACCAAGGATGGATCGCTGTATTCAACGCACCGTGTCCTCCCACGCGATTGAACTAATTATATGTAAATTGTTACTGCAATTGTTATCGATTTCTTGCATTTTTTTATGTTTCCTGCAGCACTGGAAATACGTTAAGGTATGCATTATGGCTATTATTTCTTTTGGAATATGGAACAAAAGTTCATCAGTTTTAATGTTTTAACTGATTTAGGATTCATAGTTTTATTTAATATTACATTTTCTGATTTAAGGATTTACAGATATTTTCTGTATTAAAAGCCTATTTTTATTTACAATGAAAAAATTATAAATTTTAGATTACATTTAAAAGTAATAAAAAAGTTTTGCAGCGTTACAGAATCTGCAAAAATTATTTAAATATAAAGTAGAAATATGCTAGAAATAATTTAAATAAGAAATAATTACATAAAAGATCTTAGTTTTATGTAAGTATTTAAATA